CTTCTTTAATCAGTTTTTTATTCAATATTATAATTCGAGTTTATCGGGGAGAGCGTGCGCCATTATTAGTCCTGAAAGGTTTCGCTAATGACTAAGGGATTGTCTGCGACAGAAATTGATTCAGAAAAGGGTCAACAATAGACGAGGCTTTTAACGACAACAATACATTGTTAATCAGGTAATTAACGCTTATTTTTGTGCTAAACAACTGATAAAATCATAAAACTACGGACTCAAGTTCTTAGAATGCTGTTGTTATCTCATAAACGAGAACACATCGCAACATGAGCCAATTATCTAATAAGACAAATAAGAAAATCTGAGGTGTACCACAGAGAAGAACCGTCGGTGTTGCAGGTACATTTTACCGACTGAAATCCTTCAGTTTGTCTTTTCTGATTAGGTAGACAACTAGGAAGTTTCTCGTCCAAATTTTAATTTCTCTGTGTTGCTGTTGTTTTGGAGGCAGACTGGCAGAACAATTATCTTTTGAACTAAGTACAAAGGCTCAAATTCGTCTATAATATGGAGGATCCTATTTTTAAACCAAGTGCATTTCTAAAGTGATCATATTCTCCCGGTCCACCGCCGCGAAACTGAAATAGTGTCATGTTATTTCGGTTTGTACAAGCAAGGTTAAGCGATGTTCTAAATCGAATCAAACCCCTCTAGTTAATGCAATATAAAGTAAGACCTGACTTAATTGATTAACTAAATTTTCTATGCGTAAGGCTGAGTCCATATATCCCAAGTAAACTGAATTGAGTTCTTAGTACAAAGAAATTTTATGGAGCAATTTTAAATTAATTTCCTTTTTCAGTTCTTCAGTAATGATGTCGTGACCAAAACGAATTGGCATTCAAATATTATAAGATGGACATGAGATGCCAGTGGTTCAGTTCTCACCAGGTATCACCTGAATATTCATGGTCCAGTCTTTCTGGTCTCAAATGAGCTAGCGTGGCACTGTTTGAAAACACCAACTCATGGGAAATTCTAGGCAATGAATTTTGCTCAAAAAGACCTATTAACTTCCATGTATGCATTCTTTTTAAAAACAAAAATTTAAAGGTAGGTAAATATTGCCTTTAGTGGAATAAAGCAATAATATTTTTCGTGCATTCACATTGCAAGGAAAAAAATTTGCATCCAGTTTTGGTATTTGGTTGTCAAGTTTACTTCAACAATAAATGAATAGATGTTATCACGGATCTGGAAGACATCTAGACGGCAAGGCATACAAAACTTTGATAAGTTCTATTTTTGTCGATAAAGTGGGTTCGCTGATTATCTCACCCGTTAAACTTAATATAACATTTACTTAATACTACACAGTGAGAAGAGATTTAGTTAATGCCGAAATGTGCCTGATCAGCTGCCTTGCGGGTTAAGTAAATAATTTTTATATGTTCAGATATGGCCTCAATTCTTTAGTCTTTGAAAAATAACGTTTCTCTAAAATATTGATCAATACGGTAAAGGATGTAATTTCCTGTCCTTGAGCAATATTTTACGTGCCTAAAATGAACAAAATTGTTAATTGAGAGAGCAGAATAAATTCTCAGGATTTAATAAATAAAGAGTACCTGACTGAGGTCGTTGTACTTAAATACGAAACATCAAGGGAACCATTTACGGCTGCAAGTGGAAAGAAAAACGTGCAACTCCTGCAAAGCGTGCAAACTAATTATATATGGCAAATGAATAGTATTGCTTTCGGGGAAAGTTCTACTCCTTCACGTAAATAAAACTAACGCAAGATTTTGATTTACAACTTTTCATTATCAACGCAAACGTAGTGCTTTTTAAAAAATGAATTCAGCCCATGCGGAAAATCGCTACATTAAATGAGAAAAACAAAAACAAAAACAAAACATGAAAATAAAAACCCCACATTATGAATTCATTATATGGGACCATTTTTAACACTGCTGTTAATCTTAATCAATTACTGTATGCGAAATTACAATCAAAGTTTGATTGATTTTAAAGGGAAGTTTAATAATTTTACAATACTTCTAACAAAAATTGCAAATATAAGATAATTCGGATGAGGAAATTTGAAAGATGTAATAACTTGCGTGAAGTCAAATATGAAATAAATGTAATTTTGATGTTTTTGAAGTATTGATCGAGTTTTTCAACCCTCTTCCTTTTTCCTCTTAAGTTAAATCATTAAGATAAGGTTCCGCTTCAATGATAATTGTTTTCTTGCAGATTCCTCCCTATAAACAGCTTAAGCATTGTTAATTAATGAGAAAAGTTTAAATTTAGTTCCTTATTTCGTTCAACTTACACATCGAAACAACGTTGATCCGTTTGAAATTTGAATGGTACTTGAAATAATGCTGAACTTGACTCGATTTACCATTCGAAGCTAAATACAATTATGAATGATCAAGTCGACTTTCAGCGGGGGGTCGAGATATCCAAGGAAAATGAATGTCATGGTTGGTATTTTTAAAAATAGAACTTCTCGATTATGAAAAGAAGAAGAAAGGAAAATTGGTGACGATTTTCTTGCCAACATGTTTTGACTACAATTGTACAAAAAAATAATTTCCGGTCTAACTCATTATTTTTTAATAGAAAAGAAAGCATCTTTTTTTTTTTTTTTAAAGATTTCTCTTTCCTTTTTCGTGATTGATCTCTTTGAGAGCCAGGAGAGCGTTTGTCTCATTGCTCGGTAATATTTCAGTATCTTTACCAGATTAACTGGCCCTGTTTGATGAAAGATTTTGCTTGGAAATAGCGTCGTCAAATCTCACAAAAAGAAATGGCTTTCTTGGCAAATGATACCTGCTAACAGAACACGACAGGTCTCATGGTAAATATATTTGAAAGTTTATTTTCGAAGCATACTGTCTTGCCGCTGAGAAAAGTATATTGATAAGAATCAATTTAAATGGAGCGATTAAGTATCACCGCAATTTCCGTCTGGTCGAAAAGCAGTTGATTGCAACGATATGGGAGACAAGCTCGGTCTTCGACTTCCTCAATTTGCGGCAGTCTGACTGTACAGGACCGATATTCAAATTTAGCGGCGCACTAAATTCTTTAAGGTAACAACGGTGTATGCTGCTTTCTTTCTTTAATTTTCACACCGTAAAAACACGAAATAAAAGTACGTTTTATCGTAGAGATCGTACTTACAAAGCACGGCGATTTAAGGGTTAAACACCCTTTTCATTATGAAGCGAAAAATGATTTACGTAATCGAGAATAACCATAATGCGCAATTTTTATAAAATAACGATTTGAATACTCAAAAATCGAGGTTTTCTAATGTCACGAAGAAATTTGCAAATAGAGACTGCATTAAGAGACTGCATGAACAAATGATCTCAGGTTAACCCTTCAACTCTCAGAAGAGATTAACATGAAACTTCTCGCCATAATATCTCTACATTATCCAGCTAACAGGTGACGAGAATACCAAACTTATTAGGTAGATTTTTGTTATCCTCATCCAAAGACCAAATCTCATAACTAACTTACATGGAAATCTGTAACAGCTTGAGAGGGGAATTGATAATAAGATCTTGAGAGTTAAAGGGTTAAGCTTAGCGAAGATCCAGTGGAACAAACTTACTGGGCGGCGACCAACAGTGAAAGGTCTTTGCGAAAATTTTAAATTCTGGTTCGTTTGCACTGGTAGGCGAAGAAAGATGCTCGAGTTCTCAAGATTCGCGAAAATGGCTTTACTCAAAGGGAATACGAGGTCACAATTGTCTTAAGTTCACTTCACTGCTAACATTAGCTCGACATGATATGATAGAAGAACAAATGCAAACCTTCTTGTTGTTTTAAGACAAAGGCAGGTGATAGGAAATTCGACGCCACAATTATGTTTCCAGTCAAACTGTGTACATTATTCAGGGGAGAATGAGGGGTTTTATGCTGAAAAGACAAGAGTGTTTCGAATAATGGTAGGTTATTTATTTACAATAATCGATTTTTTTGGCTGCAAACCTGTGACTTGTCAAAATATCGTTTGAACCGAATTTCCAAAAGCGGCTGGAGTCATAACATCAGAAACTGAAATGAAAGCCGATAATTGACTTACTTTGCACCGCAAGGCTTGGAAAGAGCTGTTTTCATATTAATAACAGTTTTCGCTGCTACTTATTCATGTAAACCTGATATGAAAAAAAAATCGCATAATTCTCTTTTTCTGTCGCATTCAATGGTCTTAAAATATTTCCACGAATTTTACCGACTAATTGTTCAAATCTTGATCACATTATTTTGCTCTCCATCAAAAACGTGAAGAAAAATAGCCTCAGCAGTTATTCATTGTGCTAAAGTTATTAATTTCTTCGGTAAGGTTCCAAGATTAGCATTATTTTTCTCAAATAGAAACACATTATTTATGGATAATAGCCCACTTTAAATAATAATTCAAGAAATGTTAGAAGCACAATATATTAAACAAAGCCGAAATGAAGATAACCTTTTCTTCTGTAACGTCAAAACGATTTTGAAATCAATGGAAAGCTCAATCGCCTTGTGTATACTTCACCTGTAACGCTAAAAACAAGCAAAACCTTGGTTTTAATTAAAAACCTGGCACTGTGAACATTACTCTCTCTAGCAAGTAAACAGAATCTCAAACCGTATTTAAAAGCTGATTCAAAAGAAAACGTAGGGCGGTCATCTATTATTATGTTAATTTTTATCTTAATGTGCGGTTGTTTCTTATCTCATGCAGTTTTGGCGTAAACGGGAAAGCATTTGTTTGGATTAAACGTTCTCAGCTTCAACCATCAAAGAGTCAATTTGAGTCCACGGGATAGTTCGTGAGAAGACGTCTGCTCTTAGACATTTAATGACTTTATTCCGAGTATTTTGAAAAGACAAGCAGATGGCGGATTAATCCACAAACTAGACCTGGAGGCGGGGATATCCTTGAGCAAGGAACAAACGTATATCATTTTACTACAGCGTGTACGTGATACACTCTAGTCATTCAAATAACGTCAAGTTCATTTGAAAGAAAAGAGTACTTACCATACTTAAACTTGGAATGTTTTGTGACAGCGTGGACTGGAGGTAAAGTTACGCAACAGATTTTGTTCAACGAAGATTCTAGATAGCAGACATCAGAGCAGAAATTAAGACTACGTACTCTTCACAAACTGCCTGCAGCTAAAAGAGGAAATATCTCAAGGCTAATCAGTCTGGCTTAAGACTGGATGATCACGAAAACTCGGTGGTAAAGTAAAAAATATAAGATTTCATACAACAAGGAATTCAAAAGTAAACACTTAATACGGAAAAAGTCAAAGCTGCAAAATTTTCTGAGAGCTCACGATAAGTGACCATATTTTCAAGACCTGTTGCAAATAGAAGTGCTTGGCAATAAGATGAGTGCTATTCCAGAGCCCGAAAAGAAAATCAATAATACATTCCCCGAAACAGAGCCAGAATCATTCGATAATCGTCCGACAGCTGAAGGAATAGCTGAACCTCTACCAGAATGGTCGAAGGCGGTCGATGAATGGGGGATTATCTGGGATTTTCACCAGTATGGCTTAGGTGTGATATTTGCCTTTGTTTTCTTTTTGATTGTACTTTCCCTGTGGAAGCGCTTCAAAGGAGTGCGAATCCTCAAACAAAACAAGGTTCCCAGCGTTGTTTTGAGTCTTCTGGCTCTGTTTTGCGCCACAAGAAGTCTGTTCCTCTGCATGGATGCATACCACTGGCGGAAAACTGCACCGTATTATGTTATCAACGTTCTTTGGGGCATCGGACAGCCTTGCATCATAACCGCCTACACCCTGATGTTTATAGTGTTAAGGAACGCACTGATACTCAAACAGCGGTTCCAAAAATGGTATAATACAAGGAATATTGCCTTAGCAACGCTGCCATATTTTTTCTTCGCGTTTGGAGCAGAACTTGCTATTTCTTTCGTTCCAGAGTTCAAAGGCCTCGCCCTTACTTGCCAGATTTTGTACCTTTTATTTGGTTTTTCTCTTACGGTGTTTTACTTTTTCATATCGATTTTAATCTGGAAAAAATTCAAATTGATTGACTCCTCCAAACGTTGGGCTACGGAGCCAGCGGAAGGTCGTGGATCCCGCACGCGCGCAATTCTCCGCATGTGTCTCGCAGCGGTCGCGGGCGGCGTTTTAATTTGCGTTATGCAAGTCTACGCAATGGCGGGCGTCTATGGCGTTTTTTCCGATGCGCGCTTCGTTTCTGCATGGCCATGGTTGGCGTTTCAAACAATGTTTCGTCTCGTGGAGATTTACATGACAGTTGTACTGTTTTATGCCGTCAGTGCGAGGAGCGTCGACAAGAAAGGTGAAATGACACCGACTACGATTGTTTCAGCGGAGATTCCCGAAAATGTTAATGCTATTGAATTGCAAACGGTTTGATTGGCAAAAGATTTTCCTTGTGGGAAAACAAGAAAAATACATCTTCAAATTTATCACTAATGAATTGAACAGTGGTTTTCATTTAATAAGAAGGAAACGCTAACATTGTTTTGAGTTCTTTTGTGTGTTGTGTTGCTAGGCCAAGGAGGTTTGGGCACAAAAACGAGGAGCACGTTTAATAATTGTGAAAGAAACATTTCGAAAAAACACGACATACGTTAGGCCCTGTCCGACACTACGACCTATAAATTTCAAATCGGTGTTCTCACTCTGAGGTGAATAGTAAAACTAGCCGTACAAATAAAGTTGTTTTCAAGTTCACGGGGCGTAATGTTGGCGAGGCCCCAAGTGACTAAAAACATGCGTTAAGAACTGAATGAGGACAAAGTATCAAAATGTTTGTATGTATCCTAACATATATTTCCACTAGTACTAGTTTGTTTTTGACGAAGCGTTAATTAAAAATTAACGGGATTGTAACCTTTGAGGATAATTATTAAAAGTCCTTTGTTTATACTGAGTTTCGTAAAACATTTATTGATCTTAGACTAAAGAGATATAACCGTGATAAAGTTAGTTTCTTGGAATCAAAACCTGTTCATAGTAAAATTTTTTTTTCTGAAATTGTCTTTGCTGACTACGTAAAATACTTACGGACGGTGATTACGATACTAACAATACATACGTTACTTACAATACTATCCCTATTTCTATTTATACTTATCAATACTCACGTTGAAAACTACTCACAAAACGATTTATCTTAAACTTGCTAACTCTACAAATTATTTGATGCTTTCACTACTTGCATTACGAATTTTAAATCAAGAATTAGCTTATTCTACATACTATAAACAATATTTACTTACACTAGGTGAGACAATTACAATTTATGAGAGGTAGACTACAGCACATCAGTTACGTTTCGGAGCTTAAGTTCGTTAACGGAAAAAAAAGGAGTTCAGACTTTGAATGAGCCAACTACATATTCTCTCCGTGTGGTATCCAAAAGAAATAAATATTATAGTCATATTATCATAGTCATATGTTTCGAGGAGAGATTACAGCTGTTTACGAAAGGAAAACGAGCTTGGTATTCAAAGCGAACAGAGTTGTTAATAAATCATGCTCTACCACGTCTTTTGTCATGCAAAGTGATGACGCCTAAGGGACTCGACAAAGGTCTCGTGAAAGGGTGTGTTTTTTTTTTTTAAAAAACTTAATGGCACCCTACACGAACAATAAACAATATCACATGAAAATAGAGCTTGGTATTTTTAATTTGAATGCCCACGCACTAGGGTCTTACACGAGGACCAAGCAAAAAAATTTTCTTTTGCAAGGAGTATAAACGTACAACCTTGTACCACCTTGTACAACACAGCATGAGTACAGAAAAGACACTGTTCTTTGCATGGTTACATATACCGGCTACACTGGAAATGTTGGGTTTTCTTCTAAGTTGAAAAATTCCGCCTTCCCTCTTAAGTAATTAGTCGGATTTAAATTGACCGAGTTCAAGTGAGAGCATATACTTCACGACATGATAAACAATACCACATTTAGCATCCGTTCTAAAAGGCGTCTTCTGGAATTGCTTCGATAAATTGAACTAAAGTGCAATCGCAGACAAAACCTCTGACACAGTTACAACCTAACTTTTAAAAAAAACCTTCTCTCACTTCTCTTGCCCTTTTTGTTTCATCGTAAATAAACAAAGATATGTTCTCCGAGGAAAAACAACTTGTGAAACAACACTGAAAGAGGAGACAAGAATTAGAAAGAGTAGGATATACCAGGTTTGGTTGAAAGGAAGATTGAATTTAGCTTAATTGTCTCAAAAGTTTTGTCCGCGGGAGTTGGAAGACTTCGTCATAGCATCAACATAGCAAATCGTAAATATAGAGGTTAGGGAAAGCGTTAATGACACGAGAATTTTCTCTAACCTTTTGATTCATAAATAATTGAGCAAACGTAATTAGGTTTTGAGATAAACAAGAGTCCATTTTTCCAATTGGATTTTAAACTGGGTAATCCTCTTGTGCGGCTCTCAATTCATCGAGTCTGTTCTTACTAAACAATAGCTGCTTTGTTTAAGTTTTTATGGAGGAGAGCAATTTACAGTCTTGTTTTTGTGTAGCTAAAACAATCGCTATGACAGCTGGTTGTTAACGCTTTTTTGTCGCATATTAAGCTATTTACATCATTAGCTGCATCTGAAGGGGAACCATGTTTTTCACAGCTTCGAGAGAAAGCTGTATTTGTCTTATTTGGTCGGTATTCACAACAAAGGCAAGAGTTTTGAGGGTGTTTCAAGCAGTTTTAGACTTGAACATCTGACTGAGCGAACTCTAGAGTTCGTTTCCTGGACGCAAACCAATCTATACTTCCCCACCACTGTAACAGGATAAAGCAAACAGCTTCCACTGCGCAAGCGTATTCAATAGACAGATAGAGGTTAGAAAATTTATTTACTACTCAGCGCCACTCGCAACAAGATGACTTCAAAACCAGAAACTGTAAAAGGGACGGCCACGACCGAAGCTACTCCTGAAGGAGAATACCGCGGATGGGCTGGGGCTGGGGCCGGGGCCGAGGCCGAGCCGACAGCTGAACCGACGGCCGAACCTCAGCCCGAATGGGATATTGCTGTGGAGACTTGGGGAGTCGCGTGGGAATTTCATCAATATGGACTCGGAGCTCTATTCGGTGTCATCAGTTTACTAGCGTTTGTGGCGCTGGTGAAATTATTTAAAATGGATAGGGGGCTCGACAAAAGAAAGTGTCGTTCGTTGTGCTGAGTCAAATCTTCATCTTCGGTTCATCAAGATGTCTCTTTCTGTGTATTGACGCCTACCATTCAAAGAAGCATGTTTCAGCGAAAGTGACGAGTCTACTCTGGGGAATTGGACAGCCTTGTTTGATTACAGCGTTCATGCTGATTTTCTTAGTGTTGCGAAATGCTTTAGTGATGAAAAACAGATTTCAAACCTGGTATACGACAAGAAACATAACTTTGGTTACTCTTCCTTACTACATCTTCGTGTTCACATCTGAGGTGATTGTCGCGTTTATTCCAGCTTACAGCGGCTTGATACTGGCTTGCCAGGTAATAAACATACTTCTATATATCAGCCTGGCCTTCTTTTACTCATACATTTCCTTCCTTATTTGGAAAAAGCTTCACACTGTGCGAGAAGGTTCGTCGAAAACTCTAGACAGAGGAACGCAGACATTTTCTATTTTCAAACGTTGTGTAACAGCCAGTGTAGGCGGCTTTAGTATCGCCGTCATGCATCTTTACGCTGCGGTCAGCATCAGCGGCGCTTCATCCCATGCGCAATTCATTTCGCCGTGGCCTTGGTACATTTTCATGACATTAATGCGGTGTCTGGAGCTAGGAATGTCCTTACTGCTATACACGACAACTACAAACAATAGTGCTGGTCAAAAAGCTTGTAGGAAGATAGATGAGGCACCGATGACCACAATGCAGTCAAAGACTGTCAACAACTCGGAAATAGATGACGACAAATGAGCAGAGCAAGAGCTGGATCCCAATCTTCAGTGCTCAAAAAATGCTCATAGATAATAGGGCTTTTTCCAAAATGTCCAAAATGATTATCTGCACGGCAAGTTCATAGTTATAATCATAATTTATAATAATACTAGCATCAAAATAGTGTACCTTTTTTGCAATTTTTCAAACTTTCGAGAAACCTCATGGCTGTATTATTGAACTGAGCGCGTCAAAAGCAGACGCAGTCATGTAGACCATTGGGAAGTGGCGGCCAGAAAGGCAATATTTATATTCCAATTTTAGACGTCCTTTCTAGGAGGGTTTTATTGTCCAAACCTTAAGCTGCTCCTTGCAAGTCTCCATCGATTTCTGGCACACTTGTGATCGTTTTTACATTAAATATAGGTACATAGACTGCATATTTCCAAGCCCGATTTGGAACATAGTCCAGATTAAATTAGAAGATCCTCGCAGCTAAGAACACTACTGAAACTAGTAGTTGTAAGTAGGACCTGAAAAAAATTTCAGGCCCGTACGGGATATGAACCCATGACCTCTGCGATACCGGTGCAGCGCTCTACCAATTGAGCTAACAAGCCAACTGGGAGCTGGTCAATGAATTGGGTACAAATAAACATCCGAGTGAATGAAGATTTAGATATATGAAAATTCACATATTTGCACTGCGGTGGAAAGATGAAATTAGAAGATCCTCGCAGCTAAGAACACTACTGAAACTAGTAGTTGTAAGTAGGACCTGAAAAAAAAATTTCAGGCCCGTACGGGCCTGCAGTGCAAATATGTGAATTTTCATATATCTAAATCTTCATAGTCCAGATTAGTTAGCGCAACAAAATGCGTACCGTAATTATTTGATTTTGTACCCGGGGCGTTTAATTGCTTTTAATCGGTATCTCAGGGAGGGTGCTTATTGGAATCAAGGTGCCTATTAGGGACAAGACACTTATTCCTTTTTTGAGAAACAGCAGAATGTGACGGAAACAAAGCTTTGATATTTATTTGAAAAGGATCAGAAAGACTGAAAAACGGACTTGTTGTCCCTCGTCGCAAAATTTTGAGACGGAATCTTTCATTTCAAGAAACTGTAAGACCACTGTTCTTGTCGTGAGGCTTTAAGTGAGCAATTAAGGAAAGATGAACCTCGGTTGATCTCAATGTAAATGTACCCTAAAAGTGCTATTACTGAAACTGAGTAGGGGCGTTCATTGGGATAGGGGCGCTTATTCGAATAAGTGCACTTATTTATAAAAACAGTATCGAGGGGGGCCGCTTATTGTAAGAAGGGCGCTAAATCAAATCATCATGGTACTTAAATTTCCAAGTATCGACAGCCTTAGCTAGATATAATATACCTGGCAACAGTTCTTGAATTTTCCTTTCATACTGGTGTACAAAGATACAAACAAAGATTTTGAGTTTTGATAATATAATAATGATAATAATAACCAAATTAGAAATGATTCGTGTGGTCTGATCGTCTAGGAGAGAGTAGTCTTGACAGGGACTGTTGTCGGTGGTAGACTGACGTTTCGACCACCTTACCAAACGTCATCACGATAATCATAATCGAGTGAATGCGACCGTTTTTGCTTTAACTGCTAGTGATGATCAAAATGTAAAGTAACTGTTAATAGAGTTGCCAAAAACACTAACGTTGACTTATAATTTAAATTTTATTATTATATTATTCTTGCATTTTTTCTCTGACGAATAAAAGAAGGTGGGAGCAACATTTTTCCTTGGTTCACTTCTTGACCAGCTTTGTTTTTTTCAATTTTTCTCCTAAGGTTTTGCGGTTGTCCTCCTCTGTCTAAGAAGAAAATTTTGGAACCAGGAGTGGGAGAGTGGAAAAACAATCACATCAGTAATAAACGGCTTTGTTTGGTTCATCATAATAACTGATTTGACCTGTTTTTTCAAACCCAGCCTGGGACAAACTCTATGATTCCCGGTGACGTCACACCCTAATGGTTATTCTTTCCCTTACACTGAACAAATGCTAAATTATCAGTCTAAAGCTGGAAATCTTATTATGATTGTTTGTTTAAAACCAAGGAAGATGTTACACTTCAAAAGACGAAAATTTCACTCAGTTGTCAAGTCTCAGGGCCTCAACAAAGCATTGACGACGGCCTTTACATTAAGGCTCTTCAAGTCGCTGTAAGTCTGCCCAGTGCCCACGAACACAATCGGCTGGCCAGTGGTGTACGTCATGGAGATAGCAGCACCAACCTTACAAAAGTGATAAAAGTAGCGATGGTCAAACACCAAAGGAGGCGTGAAACGTCAAGTGAGTTACTAAAGGCAGCTTTTAGCAGATTAAAGGGTTTGACAAGTGGTAAACTGCCTTGGGTTTTTATGGATCAAATTTCGATTGACCAACGTAAAACTAAAGTCACAGAAAAGCTAAAAGGCAAATCAGAACAAAAGAAAATATCACAAGTGGTCTAGACTTTCGCCGTTTTCTCAAATTCGGTGTTCTATCCTTCTCTCTGCGAGGATGGAGCGCGGACTCGTTTCCTATACAACGGCTGGAAAGGAAGCTTAAATCAAAAGGAGCTAACACTAAAAACAACCAGAGTGCCTGACACGTGGAAAATGCTTATGACTTTGGTTTTCGACACCAATCACAGACCAAAACAAAGCAAAATCAATTATTTAGCTTTTAATTGAAAATTTCTCTGTAGCATGTCAAAATACCTTATCATCGATAGTGTCAAACTTGGTGAGGACAATACCATCGATCAGACGGGGGTTATCAGACATTGAAAAATCCGCCAGAGCCTGGTTAAACTTCTTTAACTGGTCTACGGCTTCATTCCCTACCAGGGCCTCTCCGACAAACAGCACCAGGTCGGGACAGTTGAGTTTGATCAACTGAAACAACAACAAAAAAAACAAACAAACAAAAAAAATATATATATATATATCAAATTGTTCTTGGTCACTGTCAAGCAGCACTTCTTGAAGTAAACAATTCTAAGGCGCGTTTCAAGTTATTATCGTAACCGTCTATAAGGAGTTTTACAACAGTACTAAAACCCCAAACTATGAAAGGCTAGCGGGTAATTATGAGGAAGTGAAATCGTTCGGGGTCTGCTCGGCGTGAAAAGGTTTTATGGCCATGCACAGGCACACGGAAATACAATATGAAAAGATAGCGAAAAAAAATCAGTCCAGGATCATAGTATCCGCAGAAATGTAAAGTTATCATCATTTTTAAAATTTATGGCTCCTCTCTTGACGAAGTGAAGGGCCAGATACACCCATGGTTCCCCCACCTTATCTTTCGATAGTGTATCATTCTGGACGACATACTTGTGCAAAATTACTTCACTCTTCTTACATTTGCTGTCATTTATCCGTTGTGCATTAAATAGAAAAGCAAACAAGGAAGAAAAAAAACAAGGACAAACGCTGCGTACTTTAGACAAGGCTCGCATCAAAGGCTCGTTGTCCTGCATTCTTCCGGCGGTGTCAACCAATACGACATCAATGCGCTGTTCCCTGGCTGAAGTACGAACAGATATCAATGTCAATCAGCATAAAAGGAAATTTCACAAGAGCCAATGAGAACTCAAAAAAGCAAAAAGCAAACCGCTTAAGGCGCGGGAAAACGAAAGTGAAGAAGTCACGACCGGTTTTAGTTTTGTGTCTGATTGCTTGATGGGTTGGCGCCTTTTTTTTTTTTGACCAATCACAGTACACAGTGAAGCCAGACCAACGTCACTTTGGAGATACCACGCAACATATTCGCTGTGTGCTGCTACTCCTAACGAACCGATGAGGTCCACTACAAAGGACTAACAAACGACTATGGTTCATCAGTCTACGTATGTCATAAGCACGCAGAGCGTACAGAGTGAGACGTGGCGGTGGATCTTTCGACACGTTAATAATTACCTCAATAACAACTAATGTCAAACTACTGTGTCGTATTCCAACTACATAAAAAAAACATTTCCCAACTTATTCCATAACAAAATAAAGACAAGGCTTAAAAATTTATTATGCGAGCGCCTACAACTGTTGAGTCAAGCTTACCAAAATTGATGGCGTCCATGGCAATAGAAGCAGCATCTTTACCGTAGCCTTTCTCATACAGCAGAACAGATGGAGGTCCACCGCCACTTGCTGGGGGATGAAGAGCGTTAAGGTGACGGACATGAGTCCTGAGCTGCTCGACGGCTCCAGCACGGAATGTGTCACATGCAGCAATCATCACACGGAAACCATTGTCAAGCAGCCAAAAGCAGATCTGCAAACACAAATTGAAAAAAAAAAGAAGAAAAAAAGGCTGCGTTTAGCGATTTTTTTCCCCATCCTCCACAATAGCGCTTTTTCGCAAATAGCGGGTTGGAAAACATTTTAATATTTTTCTCTATAAACATTTGCGTCCGTCAAATTTCAATGAAGTTTTGAACATTTCTTTTAACGAGAGATGTTTTTTCTTCTTGTCGCGTGTGTGCAACAAAGGAATCTAGCTCTGAATCCTCGAGAAGAATCGAACCTCAGACCTTAGAGTTTCGCGCTTCGATGCTCTACCACTGAGGAACAGAGACTTTACGGTGAGCCAGGCCATCACTACGTTTCTCTGTGAAACGCGTCCTGAAAACAGCAAGGGTCAACAGTGTCGAAAGCGTTATGCACGTAAACGGAATAAGAACGATGGTGAATTTTTCGCTCGGCAATAAACTAGACAAAGACGTCTGTTTCGTCTCGTCAGGAGCGTGGGAGGTAGAGATTCCTTTACGAAAACGAAAAACCTACTAAAATTTCCCTCGCTCACGGCAAAGGGCTTCGTAGCTCTGTTGGTAGTAACGCCCAGTTGCTATCTGGGAGTTGGATCCCGTCGAAGCCCGAACTGTTTTTTTTCTTTTGCATGAAAAGTACTTAGTTGGATTTCAAGTCTTTTCCAATCACTTGACAAGGATATAGGACACGTTTCTTCACAATGTGCACCATGTTTTACCTTGGCCAAATTGGTTGATTTTCCAACACCATTTACACCACAGAAGGTGATAGAAAAAGGTTTTCCACGTTTCTTAGCATCCATTGCATCACGCAGGATGT